ATAAGCTCTCCCGGTTAGTCTAATGTACACAAAAGTTAGAAAAGTGCTTTTCTAGATCAATGGGTTTCCAAATTTCCCCCACCCCCAATAACCCATTTCAATAAGACAGAAGATTCATTGGCCCATGTGGGCCTTGTTTGGTCTGGTCTCACTTTTCAGGGTGAGTAGAATTTGATAGCAAGGAAAAAGGGTCCCAGGAAACAGAGGCAGGCAAATTTCTTTGAGTTGGAGGGTAGCCTTGTCTACATAGGGAGCTCCAGGTTAGCCAGAGTTATGTAGTAAGACCCTGCCTCAAGTCCCCCCAAAACCTCCCTCCCCTTGAAAAGAACAAAGGATCACTGTGGTGGGGGTGCTGCTATTTCTGCCTGTACAGGGTTGATCCCTTCTTACTCCTGTCATGGTGCTCGGCTTTCCACTCTATTAGTTACTTTTATATCACCATGGCAATGCCTGACTGGAACAACTTGAGGAAAGATGTTTTTTGCTCACGGTTTCAGACCATCACATTAGGGAAGGCATGGCAGAGCCTTCCTGGTGGAGGGCGTGTATAGCAGAGCCTGTTCACATCCCTGTGAACCACGAAGTAGAGAGCCAGAGCTGCATAAAACCTTCAAGGACTGGATCATCCCTAGTGACTTAACTTGCACCAGCTAGGCCCCCACCTCCTAAAGTTCCACAGCCTCCCAAAACACTTGGTGGTTTGAATGAGAGTGTCCCCCATAGGCTCCGAGTATTTGGACATTTTGTCCCCAGTTGGTGGCACTCTTTTGGGAGGTCATAGAAGGTGTGGCCATGCTGGAGGAAGCACGTCACTGGAGGCGGGCTTGGAGAGTTCTTAAGTCTTGCCTGATTTCCAGTGGCTCTCTGCTTCCTGTGCCTGCTTGAAGATGTGATTGCTCAGCTTTCTACTCTGGCAGCCTCTCTTGCCATTCCTTCCCTGCCATGATGGACTCTGGTTCCTCTGGAACCATAAGCTCAAATAAATTCTTCCTTTATAAGTTCCCTTGGTCATGGTGTTTTATCACAGCAACAGAAAAGTAACTAATACCATCACCAGTTAGGAAAAAAGCATTCAGAACAGGAGCCTGGGGGAGGCTTGCAGATTCACACCATGATATCCCTTATTCTATATGCTCGTGATGGGAATGAACACAAATGTCTTTCTTTGGCCCTGGGAAGGCACAGGAGTCATCCTGGATCTACAAAGTACCATTTTCCTCTGATCATAGCGGGTAGAAGGTACTGAGGTCTTTCTGGAACTGTCAGACCAAGTTGAGAGAAAGATTCTTCACCAAGTGATTGACCTGGGACTCTGTTCCCTGGAGCTGGTAACCAACCAGTCATGCACGAAACTATCAATTGCTAAAACATTTGATTGCATGAGCCAATAATTTCCTTTGAAATTTAAGCCACTGGAACTTGGTTCCTGTCATGAGCAACCAGAGTCCTGGCTAACACCAGTAAATCTGATAGGATTATATATACATCTGCTATAGTCATCAGGATTGATGATTCATATTTGAGCTGAAATTCAGCCATGATTGCACATTTGTTATTGGAAAAGAACTAAGCCCAAAGCATCTGCTGCTGGAGGGTGTGTCCCCACACACTGTAGTGTTGGATCAAGCTCTGGCCCAAAAGGTGCAAACAACAGGCTTTTGAGTTAGGATTCTGAGAAAGCCAGTCTTTGTTTTCTCTTCCCTACCCTCCCGGTCTGAAATGCAGACCCCAGGAGTGCTGCAGGCAACTTGAGAGCTTGAGGGTCAAACCTCCTACTGAGGGGCGGATGGGGCAGTGGAAACGGTAGGAAGCAGCCTACTTCTTGCTGCCCCTGGAAGCTGTGTACTGGCCTGGGCTGCCATCCTTTTGGTTCCTGCATACAAGGAACAGGAACCGACTCTGGATGTCGCATGCGGCTAGAAGAGACTCTAAGTTAGACAATGCCCTTTGTCCATTATATCCAAAGAAAGTCTTTGGAATTTTGAGTCAGGTGGCCAATACTTAAAGAGACTTGCCACAAAGGACCAGTCATGTCTGGGCTGCTATGCCAGACCTGGATCACTGGATCCATTCCCTATACTTGCAAATACCATATGCTCAGTGGCTTCAGATGACAGATTTATTATTTGACACAAGCCTGGATATTAGACATCCCCAAACCAAGGTGTGAGCAGTGCTTTCCTTCTAGAAGGTTTAGGGAGACTCTATTTCTTTCTCTTTTCCTGTTTCCAGAGGCCTCCTGTTTCCTCTGGTTCATGCCCCCTTCATATTGAAGGCTGGTGTGGTAGCATTTTCAAATCTCTTTCTGATCTCCCCTCTACTTCTAGCTCCTCTGTGTCCTTCTTTCTCTACTGAGAAAGCTCATGATTCCATTGGGATCACTGTATCAGCCAGGCTAAGCTTACCACAAGGTCCAGGTATAATCACATCCACAAAGCCCCTTTATGGCACATAAGACAATATATTTACAGGTTCTGGGTATCAAGATGTGGACATCTCAAGGGGACATCATCATTCTGTCTACCTAGAGAGTGAAAGTGCCTTGCCCAAGGTCCTACACAGAGCTATTGAAAAGAGAACTGTAGGCCAGGCGTGGTGGCACACCCCTTTAATCCCAGCACTTGAGAGGCAGAGGCAGGCAGATCTCTGTGAGTTCAAGGTCAGCCTGGTCTACATAGCAAGTTCCAAGCCAGCTGGGGCCAGGGAGACCCTATCTCAAAAACAAAAAAAAAGAAAAAGAAAAAGAAAAAAGAACTACAGAGAAGCTCACATCACTGGCAGAGGTACCCTTGTATGAATCTAGAGCCCAGCCATTCCTTCAAGGTCCATTTCAGACTGTCCACCTTCTCGGAAGCCTCTGCTGCCCTCCATGGCCCACACAGACCGTTCTCTTAGCTGTACTTCATTGCAACTTGGCACACATTGGACCAGCATTCTTGAAGGTGTTTGTCTTATCCATCTTGATCTTTGAAGAACAAGATCACGCCTTGGACCACTTTGCACCCTCCCCAGAGCTCACTGCCTGGAAGAGAGACTTCTGAAAGAGTCTTCAGACTGACTCACTTAGCTCACACGCTGGAGTCTAGAAGGCCCGATTCCCTTGCAGGCTAGACTATGCTCCATCATGACAAGCATGTGAAGTGGTGGGCACAGCAGAGGCTCTTCAGAAGGGCCAGGGTTGGAAGCAGTTGCTGCTTCTGCTGCATCTTAAAAGTCAAGTAGTGGGTTAAAAGAGCAGAGCATGCAGCCACATCTCATGGCTGCAAGGCTCCTGGCTGTGCAGGAACCTGATGCTTCAGCTTCCACCCTCAACCCCCAAATCCTCAGGTTCCTTCCTGACTGGTGCAAACACACCCCCTTAAGCTGGAGTGCCTGCTCTGGTTTCCACATGTGGTTCCCTGGCATAGTAAATCCACTTCGGATAGGACCTACATCTTCGATTCCTCTTGTAAACAGATGACTCAGTAAACATATCAACAGAATGTGGACAATTCATGGAACTGAGCTAAAGTTCTAACATTCTGATGAACTTTTCATCCTTTCTGTAAAACAAGAGGCTGAAATGGAAGCATAATGTGGTCCCTTCTCCTCTGAAACCTCAAAGCTAAATCATACCACGAGTCAAAATTCCTCAAGTTTTAATTTCATTACTTAATTATTGCACAGGGACTGTTAAGGACTCACCTCTCTCTACCGATATTTATTTATTGTAAACATGATATAATATTAAATTTGGTACTACAATTCATCCAGCGATCTCACTGCCTTAACACGCTGTCATTCCCACTTTGTTCTCACCTGTTTCTATGGTCTTCATTGTGCAAAGCTGTTGTCTGGATACAACTTTAAAATTTTTCATGTTAGAACAGGAGCATGCTCCAAGGTTTTACCTAATTTTTATTTTCATTGAAAATAAACATATTGACATTATGTTTCCCTTCAGCATCCTTGCTATACAACATCTATCCTTAACACTTTTCTTCCAGCTTATTTTGACATTGTAACTTACACTACTTATGCTCTGGAGCCCCTTCCAAGGGCTGGGCCTGTCCCAACTATTTGGTTGCTTGCTAGATCTCTCTCTCACTTGTGCTCTCATGTTTTTGGTGCTCTTTCATTTAATGCCTACGTGGAGCTCTGAGGATAACTTGCAGGGGTCAGGTCTCTCTTTCCACCAGGGATTGAATTTATTGATTTTTAAAAATTTTTATGAGTGTTGTGCCTGAATATTTAAGTGCACCACGTGCATGCAGTGCCTGTAGAAACCAGAAGAGGTCATTTGAGCCCTGTAACTGAAGTTAACCTAGGTTGTTAGCCACCATGTGGGTGCTGGGAACAAAAGCTGATCCTTTTCAAGAGCAGCCAGTGCTATTAACTGCTGAGCCAGTTCTCCAGTCCGGTTTTCATTTTGAGACAAGATTTCACTATTTTTGGTCAGGCTGGCCTCAAACACTTTGTGTGTGTGCATCTGTATGTGTGCATGCCCACGTGGAGCTTCATTTTGAGACAAGATTTCACTATTTTTGGTCAGGCTGGCCTCAAACACTTTATTTGTGTGTGTGCATCTGTATGTGTGCATACCCACGTGGAGCTCTGAGGATAACTTGCAGGAGTCAGGTCTCTCTTTCCACCCTATGGCTCCCAGGGATTGAATTCAGGTTGTCAAGTTTGGTGGCAAGTGTCTTTACACCTGAGCCAGCTAGGTGGCCCTAGCCTGGAGCTCTCGATTCTCCTACCTTTGCATTCCCGGCTGGTTTGACTTGTTTACCATTAATTAATCAATTTATTTATTTGCCATGCCCTGAATTTTAAGGAGGTGAACCCTTCCGAGGGGCTTGTTATCCTCGTTTCCTGCTTTCTGTTCACAAACCCAAGAGAAAGAGGTCCTAAAGAAATCCTGCTTCCAGAGAGCGTGGCCCGGTGGCTGAGAGGATTTGCGGCCCGCTCGCCCGCCCCGCGCCCCCGACTACATTTCCCAGAAGGCCCAGCGCGATGGGCGTGGAGGCGGGCTCTCTGCTGGCTGCGACGCAAGGTTGGGGCGCACAGCGGGACACGATGACCCCTTGGGCCGAGCGGCTGGCGGGGGTACACGGGGTGCTGCTCGACATCTCAGGCGTGCTGTACGACAGCGGGGCTGGCGGTGGCGCCGCCATCGCGGGCTCCGTGGAGGCGGTGGCGAGGTGAGTGGGCTGACGGCAGGGGCGTCGGGCTCTGCCCTCCGCTAGGCTCGCTACTGCCGGGGGCGGGGCTTCCGCGCTGGCCCCGCCTCTCACCTGATGGCCTCGCCCCCTCCGTCTGCATCCCTAGGGTAGGCCAGGTAGGGCCGGCTCTAGGCTCTGAGGGTTAGAGCTGAGCAGTGTCAGCAGGTGGGTGTTGCGCACTTGAGCTGTGATTAGTCTTTATTGTGATGTGCTGTAAGTCAAATACAGCACACAACGGCTTTCCAAGACTCACAGCAACGTATAGACTAGTTCATTAATCTTACATTATGTTGGGCAGGAGAGATGACTCAGCAGGTAAAGGCTTTTGCCTCAGAGCCTCATGACCTGCGTTCAAACCTCTGAACCCAAATAGTGGGAGAACTGCTTTTTGTAAGTTGTCCTCTGACTTCCACATATGTGCTATGACATGAACGTACACACACACACACACACACACACGAACACAAAATAAATGAATAAGGGGCTGGAGAGATGGCTCAGTGGTTAAGATCACTTGCTGCTTCTGCAGATGACCTGAATTGGGTTTCCAGCACCCACATGGCTGACAACAACCAACTGCAACTCCATTTCCAGGGGATCTAACGCCCTTTTCTGGCCTCTGGGCATTGCATGCAGGTGGTGCACTTACATACACATGAAGACAAAACACTCATAAAATAAAATTTTAAACATAGATTAATTTTTTAAATTAAATTTAATAATAGATGGAAAGATTATTTGAAAAAGACTGCACTATATTGATTATGTATTGAAATGACCATTTTTAAAACACTAGGTTAAACAAATTTTGTTTAGTGTTCCACCTGTTCCCTTTAACTTCTTGTTGGAATATTTTAAATTATGTATGTGGCTAGCCGTCTAGTTCTGTTGGATTGCACTGGTCTAGATTCAAGGAGGAGGAGGGATCTAGTGCCCCAAGCCTTGCTAGTATAGTTTCCAGATGGTTGGCACCATGAGGCCTGGGCTTCCTATCTGCTATACCAGCCAGTGCTATGTAATGTGGATGGGCGGTTGGGAGGGACTCACTCTGAGCACTTTGCTTCCTGGAGTCACACCTAGGGCATCCTGGCCTGGTGGCCTGACTTCATCACAACTGTTTGCCAACTTGCCAACGATAGTTAAGTGAGTCCTTTGATCCTGAGAGAGCATCCCCTACTTATCTATGTGTATGTGTTGAGGGAGGGAGGGAGGGAGAGAGAGAAAGAAAGAAAATAACAAGGATTTAAACTGTGTTTTATAGCAAAGACAGTTCGGGAGGCTGGGCCTTCAAGTGCATTTATGAAGGGCATCTAGTCCTAGGAAACTCACTGGCCCTGGGATTGGCCCACTGTGTGGACAGAAGTCCAGGTTTATGGTCTTCCTGACCTCCACTTAGTCCCCACTAACCCCAGAACTTCAGACTGTTGTGTCACAGTTCAAGCACTGTGTGGAGATGTCTGTGGGAATGCAATCAGGGCACTGGACTGTGTTTTGGAGTGAAGTAGCCTCCTGGGTGGGTAGCCAGGACCTCTTGAGGGTCAACATCTACTGGGAGGGTAGACAGTATTGCAAAGACAAATGAGTAGATGAATCACCATGGATTAGCATAAGTGAAGTGAGGACAGAGGTCCGAGGCATACACTAGATGAGGGTAGCCTGTGCTGGGGGCGGGAGGGGGGTGCAGAGGTGGTTTAGAGGAGGTTTCACACTGGGTCAGAGGAATAAGAGAGAGCCTTTGGTGTGAAGAGGCCGAGGAAGCACCTTCTGACTGGAAGGGACAGCAACTTCAGGTGCACTACACAGAGAGAGAGGCTGTGGGCTGTGTGTGTTGGAATGTGAGAGTAGGTACAGCAGGGAGGGACTTGAGGCCAGAGAGGGTGCTGAACTGTATTCTCAGTGAAGAAGTCAGTGGGGATTTTAGCCAGGCACTACAGTGTTACCCAATCTTATGTTCAAAAAGAAACGTTAATGTAAGAAATGCATTGTGGAGTGGGCAGATGGTTCAGTGGGGGTAAAATGTGAGTTCAGATCCCCAGTGCCTACATAAGAAGTTGGATGTGATGTCATGCCCCTGTAATCCCAGCACTGGGGAGGTGGAGACAAGAGGCTCCCTGGGGCTTGTTGGTCAGCCAGTAGAGACTTCACTAAAGTCTGACTCAGTGGGAGACCCTGTCGCAAAAAAAAAAAAAAAAAGTGGGAGCTATTGTGGAAGGTATTTCACATCACCTTCTGTCCTCCAAACGCATACACACAGTCTTAGTTACTTTTCCTTGCTGTGATGAAAAAATACCCTGACAAAAGCACTTGAAGGAAGGGTTTATTTTGGCTCATGGTTGGAGGGGAAGTCAAGGCAGCAGGAGCTCAAGGCAACTGGTCACTTGGCATCTGCAGTCAAGAGAGAGATGAATGCTTGTGCTCAGCACACATTCTCCTTTTTACATGGTCTAGGATCCCAGCCTAGAGAATGGCATCACCCGCAGTGGATGGGTCTTCCCACCCCAACTAATATAATCAAGTTAATCTCCCATAGGCATGCCCAGAGGCCATGATTGTAGATCTCATCAAGTTGATAATTGAGATTAATAATCATGCATACCCACATAAACACATGTATACATACCAAAGACGTACAATGAAAATGAGATTTCCTTTGGAATCTTGGCGGGAAAGCCTCAAAACATAGAAATCAGCTCAAAATCAACCTCAATGGAAATAAGGACATAGGACATAATCACTCACCACTCACCTTACTGCATCAGAGATGAAAATTAAAACTGTGTCAAGATGCCATTTTTTTCATCAATTTGACAAAACTAGTGACAATCCGAAGTTAGAGAATGAGTTCCCTGGATGAGACAGAGGCAGACCCAGCTGGCGTTGCCTGGTAAGACACCTGGCAGCGTCTAGCAGTAGTTCTGCCTCTGGGAATTTGTCCTGCCTCGTACATGGCAAATGTCTGAAGTACAAGGTCCCTGTGGCTCTACCTTTTGAAACAGCGGAAGACTGAGAAGGACCAGTCTCCCTTGACAGGGAAGCATTCCTGTCCCTTTCTCCACAGTGGACACCACACTGTGAGTGAGCCCTTTTATCTTTAGATACATTGCTAGTGAAGGCAGCAAACACATGTGGCCTCTTTGGGGTGGAAAAGACAGAAATGGGTGTGTTCCTGCTGCTGCCATGTTTGCATAGACCCTGGGAAGACATGAGCTAGCTGTTTTGAAGTCTCAGCAAAGAGCTGGGGTCAAGCAGAGAGAAGTGGGGTAGAGGGAAGAGGGAGGAGGAGAGACTTAATCGTGTTAATTTGTATATCAGCATTTTAAAAACATTTTTATTTTATGTGTATGAGTGTATTGTCTACATATATGTACGTACACTGTGTCATGCAATGCCTGCAGGTCAGAAGAAGGTGTCAGATGGCCCTGGGAACTGGAGTTATGGACAGTCATTAGCCAGCATGTGGATACTGGGAACTGAACCCAGGTCCTCTGCAAGAACAGCCAGTGCTCTTAACCGCTGAGCCATCTCTCTAGCCCCTCTATATCAACATTTTTAAAGCTTTTGAACCACACAAAATATAAAGTTGTATGTCACTTTCTTTAACTGCAGTATGGAGAATAGGATTTCAGGGGTCATGAAGCTGGAGATGATCAGAGAGGATCAGGCTATAAATAAGGATTCCTATTATACATATGTCTTAGCTACTTTTCCTGTTGCTATGATAAAATACCTTGTCAAAAACAACTTAAGGAAGGAAAGAGTTATTTTGGCTAACAGTTGGTGGGTACAGTCTATCATGCTAGGGACGGCAAGGCAACAGGACCTAGGGGAGATGACTAGTCACGTTGCGTCCTAGTCAGGAAACAGAGAGTGACCAATGAAAGCTTGTGCTCAAGTCTAGCTTTCTCCTTTTTATACAGTCCAGGACCCAGGGAATAGTGCTCTGCTCACGTTTAGGGTGGGTCATCCCACCTCACTTAACCTGCTCAAGATAATCTCTCAGAGGCTTATCTCCTACACAATGATCCTGTATCTTGTTGATAATCAGTATTAACCATCACAACATGCTTTTAATATTCTTTTAAAATCAGAGCCACTCAAAAGCAACTTGTTACCTTTTTGAAACGGTCTTGCTATATAGCCCAGGCTAACCTCAAACTCAAGATCCTCCTGCCTCTGCTTCCTGAATATTGGGATTACAGGTGTTTCTTCCATACCTGGCTAGAAATTACCAAGGAAATTCTACATGTAGAAAAATACTCATATTGTGCATGTAACACCCAATTAATTTCAGCAGCCAAACTCTTGTGAAAGCTTCAGAAACCCACCCCACGCTCCCCTTCCCCTGGACAACCACTGTTTCAACTAAGCTCCATAGGTTAGTTTTGTTTCTGACTCGCTGTATATGAACAAAGTCATATAGTCTTTCCCTTTTATGGCTGTTTCTTTCATCCAGTGTCATATCTGAGATATTTGTCATATTTATGGCAGTTGGCTGTAGACGGCTTATGCTGAGTACTGCTTCACAGAGTGATGGCCACAACTCGTGCATTTCCCATTTGGGTTATTGTGACTAGTGCTGCTGTGAACATTCTAGAACATGTGTTTTGATGAACACATGAGTGTGTATCTTCTGGGTGTGCATCTGTGGAGCATGTGGATGTAAGAGTGGCGTGGCTGGATCACAAGCCAGGTGTGTGTTTGATTTTGATATATGTTGCCCAGTAGGTCTCCAAAGTGCCATTTTAAAAATATTTTGTTATTTTTATTTTTACATGTATTGAGTGTATTGCCTGCATGTATGTTAGTGCACCCGTGTCATGCAATGCCTGAGGAGGTCAGAGGAGGGCATCAGATCCCCTGAAACTGGAGTTACAGACAGTTGTCAGCCGCCATGTGGGTGCTGGGAATGGAACCCAGGTCCTCTGCAAGAGCAGCCAGTGCTCTTAACTGCTGAGCCATCTCTCCAGCCCTGGTTGTGC